ACCATAACCGGTCAAACGATACTTTGATCATTTTAAGTGTTTTAGCAAGTATATACATATATATATTCACAGCATAATAGTTCTTTATATATGTTTTCATAGAGCTATCATTTTGTCAACTAATTTATAATTGAAAAGTTTGATCTAACCAGTTGGCGACCATACACATCTGAATTAATCGTTTGGTTCCTAGGAAACAGCTTAAACTATATAATACATTTGTAATCCTGTCAAACTCACAGCATAATTTTCTTTTGGTGCATTTCAGCTTTCGTAGTTGTTTGCGCTGGTTCATTTTCTTTAGACTATGACCATGACTTTCGATTTACGTTATGATAAACTATTGATTTTTATCACCTCTAGTTATCAGAATTAAAAAAGGTTCGATTTTATTTCGTTTGAGATACAAATCGCAGATGTTAATGCGTTGAGTTAAATTAATTTTCTATAATTCATGAGGAATCCAAGTATTGAGTTTTGTAATGAATGCCATGATTTTAAATTGTTGTGTGTGATACATTTAACCTTTTTGCAATCTCTCGCACAGAAATATGACGATCCGAATCAATTATGGCTTTGATTTGAACATCATCAACTTCATTTGGCCTACCAGATAACAGATCATATTTGAGTGAAAAATCATCAAAACGAAATGTATTAAACCAATTCTGGCACCGTCTTTCATTTAGAGCTTCATTATGTGTATGCTTAACTTTTTAGCAGCTTGTGTTGCGTTCTTTCCTTCTCGGAAATAATAAATAATATGACGAAAATTAAACCTTTTATTCTCCATGTTAAAATTTAACCTACACAAACAAATCTCACAAAAAATATACTTAGTTTGGTTTTTAGAAACCAAAAATTGTCAAAACTATATAATTGTAACAAATTTCAAATTGGCAATTTCTTTATTGTCAACGGTTCTTCTGGTAACTCTGACAAAGCTTTTATATAACAAAGTCAGCAATTTCAAGCAAAAGCTAAACAGAATTTGTTAACGAAGTTATTCATAGACGTTGAACATAGTTTTCTAAAATGACGATAATGAGGATGTTAAAAAAAATATTGAATACCGAAGATGATAATTTTTCAGTAGATATTTTGGAAAAACCTTGTTATCACGAAATTGATGAATTCTAGTTAGAAAAAAAAATAAAAGGTTCTTGAAAATGTATTATATTTTGCTTTGATAATTATCCTGATTTAGGAAGAAGTATAGTTGTCAATCGATCAACATTAAATACAATATCTACTACAAACATTGCTTTGGACTCATATTTTAAAATGTAATTTATCTTTCCATTCAAATTTTGTTTTTATTATATTTGAATTTTACTACTAAAATTTTGAAAGTATAATCTTTTTTATAGTTATATTTTTTATATGTTCTTATATGTGAAATGTGAACGTTATATTACGTGTGGCTCTTTATATTACATATGAAAAAAACGTATTGCAGTGATCGCATGTGTGCGGTTATATTAATATTATATATCAGGGCTGGCTGATAATAAAATAACATAATAATTTTGTTAAAATTGATTATGAAAAAAAAATGAAGTAATTACAAAAGAAATATAAATTTATATTTTGAAAAGAAAGATAAAGAATTTACCAAGGCATATATGCGTTTAAAGTAAATGTTTTTCAGACCAAGCAACAGAAATATAAGTTCTGTGTTATTTTGAACTAATATTAATTCATAATATATAATTATAATAATAGTTTTTAGCCCTACAATAAATACAAATAAACAAGAATAAAAGCTTTTCATTGTTATCCATTATCCAAATATAAAAATTAACCTATAAATGAACAAAATACTAATACATGTTATAACAGTAACTAATTGATGAATCGTCTCAAGCATTTTACTTACATATTTAAAAGCTACAGTAAATTTAGTATTAACTTAATACTATATATATAACATTTTATTTCCAATCTAAAATTCGATCAATTGCATAACAAATTCAATGACATTCTGAGGCAAAGATATTAAAAATATGATGATTTTCATTGAATCAAAGAAGCAATTGACAAAATAATTATAAATATAAAATAAAATAAATATAAGTGAATTTATAAGTTACTGCAAATGAAAGAGTTTGAATTAAAGAAAGCGATATGTAATAAGTAAATTATGTTTGGCCATTTGACAAGTTTCATGTACTTAAATCATTTTTTTAAAGATACAGTAAAACGCCTATTATCCGGGTATCAATTAACCGTCTTTGCTGCCGTTTTTGTGTTTAGTTATTTTATAAGCTAAATAGTAAAATTGTCTCTGCAAAACTACCGTTTAGTAAATAATTTTACAAGGAAAATAATCAAAAAATACAGAAATGATTAAAAATGTGTTTTTGTATATCAATTCAAAGATATTAAGTTTTTAAACCAAATAAAAGTGATGTGTGTTTTAACAGTGTTTTTCAATTGTCCTTGTTTTAGCGTTTTTGTTATAATAGATACAATAGATACAAAATTACTTCTGTAAGAAATGCGAGTCATTTAAGCTCTCCCACTATAATAAAACATATTAATTTCATGAAACTTTTATTTAATTAAAAATATATATGGAATCAAAAACATTTAGTTTATAAGCATCTTTGATTTTTCACAGGAAAATTCTTCCTTCCTCCAAAAATCATGAACCATTTGACTATTAGCCAGATGAATGTACAAAATTTTTGAATTACCCTGACATCCTCTTCTTTTAACACACCTTCGATTGTCATTCTTGCAGTTTCGAATGCAGATACAATTATCTCCGTGTGTTGCCATATTTTTTCGCAAAAATCGGTAATGTCTTTTCTCGGCTGCAAGTTTTGGTTAATGTATTCACTTCTTCGTGTACATGGTATGCTTTTATCGACCGCTATCCAATCATCCCAAAGGTATCTCTGCCTCATAATTGCATGGAATTTGTTATGCAACTGATCGAATTTGCCGAGGGTGGATTCTAAATTATCAGTTTGATTATAATTTAAGATTATACCCATGCACTGATTCAAGATTTCAATCATTTCGTCGCTAGCTGTCATGGAAACTTTATCTTCAAAACTTGCCATCTTAATTTTTGATGATAAGTATTGATACAATCTAATAAAATGGTTAACTTCACTAAAGCTCGTGTTACTTCAAACTAATGCATTGTTGATTCTCTACAATATATTTATACCCAAAAAATATATAGGGTATTAGTGATAACAAAAGTGAAGGTGGGGGACTGTAGTGATTAGGATGTAAATAAAATGAACCATAAAATTTTCAGAATTTAACTTTCAGTTTCATATGTTTTTAAATATTGCAATTCTTTAATTGACACTACATTTTTTGATGGATTAATGATGGATATTTTGTACATAAAATTAAACTAGTTTTCATTTTAGTAAATTCAAGAAATATAGATGAAACTTTCATAATTTTGTTTTGATCTAAAACAAATATACACTATACAGACACTGATATGAGTATGTTTATTTTATAGTATGTAAATAAATAGATTTCCTAAATAGGTTGTTTAAAGTTTTTAATTTATATAAATTTAAATGCATATGAAAGTAATTTGATATGGTTATGAAAACGTGTTTTATTTGCATCACGATAAATCAGCTGCAATCATCTCCTGTTTTATGAAGAACCATCAGCATAATCGAGGAAACTCTACATAGGGACCACGGGTGGAGTTGTGATACTGTGGGATTCTTACCGCACTAAAACCTCTCCCATTCTTCGTCAATATGCAGGACCTGTATCACTCTACTACTGTGCGATGCTAATTGTTTTGGCCTGTTTGCCAGCTCTCCGCACTCTTCAGCATTTCACTGACAACATTTTCCGGTACCAGCAGAACTTCCAATTCTGTCTCCGCTTCGTGCTTCCTTCTAAGCCATCTGCAGCACCTAAAACGCGTGTGCTCCGGGCTATCGTCCTCATCAGAGTACCAGCACCTTTCGTCTTTCTTTTTTTGTAATAATGTGCAGGTACTTGCCAAAGCATCCATAGCCAGACAGCGCCTGGTTGAGGTGAAATGTTGTTTTGTCGTGCTTTTTGCTTATCCAAGGCTCTATTTGTGGGATTAGGCGTCGAGTCCAAGCTTCCGACCTATGCTATTTATCTTGCCATTTTTTCAGCAGTCTGGCTCTAGCATTGCCAATAAGGACTAGAAGTTTAATAAGCATGGAAGTTGCATAAAAGTTGGAAAAATGTCATAGGACAAAAAGTAAAATATATAATTGATTAGAGTTCTTTGTATAACAAAAAGTGAGTTTTATTTCACAATAAAAAACAGACATTAGTTTTTTCCCTACTCTATATAATATATATAGTATATATGAACAAAATGAAATATTTGCTTACAAACAAATCACTAATTTTTATTTATTTTCTCTACGGTCTTTTTCTGCTACCCTTTCGGTGCTTATCGACAATACAATGAATTTTATTGTTGGTGAAATTCAAACCTGTTACCTTTCCTATCAGATTTTATGATACAGACGTCCATATTATATCATTATATCTATAAATTAATTTTGAACCCGTGAGCTCTCGCACACAAAGCAAAAAATTCAATGACCCTTTTACAATTTGCAAGGGCACAAACATTTATCTTATTACAAATCTCTTTACATAATTGTTTTAGGTTTGCATCGGTTTATATTTCTTACACTTTTAACAATATTATGGAGATAATTTCCGAAGTAATTATTTACATTTGAAGTGTTTAGGATACTTAAAATTAGAATTTTAAACTATGGTTGTTAGTACATACATGAAAATCTCAACTTTGAAATTTACTTTAAGTATCATAATTCTCTTTAGTCATCAACAACCAAAAAAGAGTATAATTACATACTAAAGAACGTACGTATGTACTTATCGTTATACAGTGGAGATCAACAGAATCGGTACGCAATTTTTCAATTTCTGGTACAATCATCACATTTTCTTAAAATTAATAAACACATAAAAGGAACAAATACAATAAAAAAACAGAGTTAAATTTTATCTAATATTTAATAGAAAATACTTATATACATACAACTGTAAATACGTCTATGATGTAAAAGGAGTAGAATACATTTAAAATAATATTGTAAATATCAATGTTGTCTATTTTCATGGACGTACAAGTTCGTGATAAGGAATTACATTTAAAACGTTTTCAACGATTTCAGTTGCAATTGCTGAAATCGTTTCAGTGATACTGGGATTCAATTCTTTGGACATCTCTTTGTGGTTCTCATTCAAGAATTTGTTCATTTCCTCACCTAAAATCAAAGTTATATAATACTTAATTTTCATATTGTCTTATATATATATATAACATTACCAAGTCGTTTATCACCGTTGAACAAGTTATCCAATTTGTAATAAGTGCGTTCTGATACCAAAGTTACATCAGGTTCAAGTGCTTTTATGTATTCAACACCGTTTTTCTGGATAATATCATATTGGAAACTGTATCCAATAGCTCCATTAACTGTAATTAAAATATATTTTTAATTTATATACTAAGTACAATATATTATTCAGGTTCATAAAATTACAAGCGTTTGCTTCACGTTATTTCATAAATTGAATAAAATTAATTAAATGATGGCAACAAAATAATATTGCCACGATTTATATAAAATAGTAAAAAATAAATAATTAAAATTCCCTTCCCTTTAAAGCAATAACCAGTAATAATTGAATTAAAGGTATTGTTTGAAATTTTGTTAGAAGATTATATTATATTTTGATACAGTTAATCAGTAATATTTCTTAAAAATCTTTACTCAATCAAACAATTATTAATTATTTTCAAATAATTAACACTTGTTAAACTTGGTAAACTTATCATGTCTTTATATAAAAGTAGATCATAAATCGTCATTATTCATTTGTATGGTAAACCTTGATATACATTTATGTCCACAGTTTGACCTATCATTCTCAACAATAAAATAATTAATAATATTCAGTATCTGTATATAAAGCAGCATATTAACCTATAAACATTACAGGCTATAAAAGGTCAGATTTTAACATTTAAATTTAGCTGTTGCATAAAATATTGGAAAATATAGACAAAATACTAAACCAATTTGTGATTTATTTTTATAGAAATATTTTTTTTTTTTTTTTTTTTAGCGTTTATTGTTCATTCACAACCTGCCATCTCGGGCTATAAGTTGAATGCTTATGTTAGAAAAAAAAAAGAAAATAAAAACAGAAAAAACAAAATGAAAAACATATGATAACATAAATTTAAATGAAAATAGGATAAAGTAAAATAAATACAAAATAAGAACAGAAAAATATTTATTACCCATTGTGACGTTAATTTTTCCGTTTCCTGTGATTGGCAAAATTAAAATCCTTCCATCGATTGTGTAATCACCAATAACTTGGATGTTATCGTTGTGCATATCCAATGATATAGTCTGCTTCTCAAGATCGAAACTAAAAATATTAAAAATATTTAGATGAGATATTTTTCATAATAATTACATAAGTACATAAGATTTATTTTTATGATTATGTTTTCGCATTGGCTATAATCAATCTTTTTTTTATATAAATACAGAAATACTTCGCATAGTGAAATCATTATTTAATCGAGGACTTATAGCTTCAAATTAATCATCACAAATTGATTTTCAACTATAAACAGAGAAAAATCGATCATTTATGTATAAAAACTAATTTTGTATTTGTTTTTAAACTTTCAAACTTTCGCACTTATTGAAACCGCACTATTCGAAGTATTGCTATATTTGAATACTTTTACAATTTATTTGTGCAAAATAAATAAAAAGCAGTATATAATTCATTATTCAATAGTGGAAAACTGATGACTTACAAAGTTTATTCTAATCATTAGAATGCTCACAATAAATATCAGGAAACAATGTTTTATTTTCTGTTTATAAATAATAACGTTGCCTAGCTACGAATGCTAATCCCATATTGACCTTGACCGTAAATTCTTTTTCTGGTAAAATATTTACTAAATACTTATTTTGAAAGAAAATTAACTGCTTAGTTTCTCTTTTTAAATTTAGCCTTGACATTGAATGTAAAATAAGATTGATATTTACTTTTATGTTGTTATATAAAAACTCTTTTTCTATTACTAAACTATACAGCAATAGCAATAAAAATTACGTTCTTGCTATTTTTTTCTGCAAATAATTATTGATAATGAAGTAAATTAACAGTACAGCCTCCATTGCATTACTCTCTGTCTCCAGTGTATGTATGTATGTATGTATGTATGTGCATTGGATGTTGCAAGCTATTACATAACGTTTTTCGCGTACGTTTATCTGGGTTATGTTAATCTTCGTGTACTCCAAGATTTGTCTTAAATCGTTTAATTTCAAAATACTGACATACATTTTCCATTTTAAGAATGGTTTCCATTACAAAATACAAACACTAAGATTTGCGATAATTCTCTTGAATATCATTGGCTAACCGATAGAGTCATTATTTTAAGTTTAAATAAATTTAACATCAACATTAAAGTATGATTAAAAAAATTAATTGTTAATGAGAAATTATATTTTTATTAATTAAAATAGTTTTTTAATAGATTTCATTCAAACCATTATTTTATTAAATTGAAAAATAAATACAATATTATGAAAATCAAAATTCTGAAAAGCCTCTGTTTTCGAATATAAAATCAACACCAAAATCGTTTTGGTTTTTGCAAATAAATATAAAGTATTAAAAACTAGATATTTTCCACGTTATAAGATATTAAACATTTTACTTTCTAATATATTACATTTATTAGCAGTGAATATAAAAAAATATGTTTATACATTTTTCAGAATTTATTTTTATTTTGTTCGTTCATTATATACTTTGATTAGAAATTTATTATAATGAATGAACTAAACTGATTGAAACCAGACTATGGATTATATAATTTGTAATTATATAAATAAGTGAATTTATAATATATAAAATAAATAGGAATTTTACTTACTTCATTTTTCTTAGTTGCATATTTCCTAATCCATAGAGGATAACGTCAGTAAGTGTCAACTTTAAGTTACCACTAGTATCGATGCGAATTTCGGGTATGGCTAAAGGTTCCAATACTCTTAATTTCAATCTTTTATCACCTGCAAGTAAATTTCATATATTTAATTTAAAACAATAAAAAATCAAATGTATGGGCAAAATATATATTTTAATACTTATATAAAATGATGTGTCTAAAAAGATGAAGATAATCTCATATAAAAGAAAATTGTTAATATATGTTAGTTATTGTTTGGTTAATTTAGAATGTCTGCAACAATAATTGTTTAACAGGTGTTAAGTGTAATTGCTAGCGTTCGCGAGTGAGAGGTTTCCTCAATTAAATATTTTGTTTCGCATCGAATGAATAGAGTATTGTGCAATGATTTCCGAAGGTTACAAAAAATTATTATATTGAAAAAGAAAAAGTTAATTTGTAATAAATTATTAGAATCTTAAACTCATCTTATATAATAACTCGTATATGCATAATCAATTATCATCAGCTTTTCAAAGATAAGCATAGATTTTACAAATATATTTGCATGGATAACATTTTATATTAGAAAATATTAATTAGGATCTTATACTGAAAATAATACAGTAAATGAAGAAATTTTTAATCTCAATTTATTACAGACAAATAAATATTTTCAATATTTATCAAATTTAAAATAATGATTAAATATAAAATGTGTCAACATTATATATATATATATTTATATAAATAAAAACAATTGTTTTTCTATTGATTATTGAAGTTCTAAAATCAGAATTAGAAATTTGTGTTTAAAATTATTTTATTTCTGACCTATAAATATTATTTTGTAATAAAATAATTTTGCTAATGCCAATTTAATATATTTAATGTATTTGAAGTTCAGTCTAATCGTCCTCAAAGTGCTTACAAAAATACAATGGGAATACACAAATTTTAAGCCATTAAGGCTATTACATATTAATACACAAAGATAATTTGGTATTTCCGGTAAGCTACAAAATTCATATGAAACGGAAAGTTATTAAATGGCAATTTTCGAAATTATTTTTTCCAAGAAACGATGGATATGTTATTTTCACAATCTTGTTCACTACTTACAGAACTGGTATATATTAGACTTTGGATGGTCATAGCAGAAGTGATTGTATATTACGGAAAGTAACATTTCGTTAAATTACAGTATTACAAACAGAATTATTGCTACACTTTTGCATTCCATTTTATAAATTCAACTGGAATTTTGTACCTCGTAAACAAATAAGTCTTTTTATTATTTTTATTTTATTGTGTATACACGTGACTTATTTATAAAGAAAAACAACATAAATATATAATATTAAACAATTGATTGATGTAAATTTTTTACAAAAAAAAAAGCCGAAAGTATAGTAAAATAAACTTATGATATAATAATTATATATTGCATATATCATTTTCTCCATACTTGTTACATTGCACTAGTTGAAACTTTATTGATTACATATTAATATTGGAAAAGCAAAGAATACTAGCAACATCTAAAAATATAAATAATAATCAGAAAATATGCATGCTTGTTTTCATAAAATATAAAGAATTACTAAACAAAAGATTGTATTAATCATACACTAAAAAATGTTCAAACTTTTAAAGAATTTTTATTTATAATATATGTTTATATATGTTTATTTTTCTTAAGTTTTTTTTTTGTAAATTCAAATTTTAACTAACTTCTCAGGCAGAAATATTGGTTTTGTAAATTAATAAAAAAAATATTTAAATAAGATAAGTTTATGATGATAACCTACATTTTTATAAGCTTACCTTTAGCTAATTGTGGAATTGCTCTACGTCCAGATTCCAAACAACATTTCTGAAAATTGGGATCTGATCTGCTGCATGTTGTTAGGTAACTTGCTGAAATATTAAGGATAAATGTAATTAAATAAATAAAATATTGTATTTAATAATTTATATATCTGAAATTATTTATTGATAAAAAATAATTTCTTTACATACATTATTATCAAAAATTGTTTGTTTTTCAATAAACTTGTAATAATTAAAAGTTTTAACTTTTTATTGTTTACAAAGTAAATAATAATGTTATTATGAAAAAAAAAACTTTTAGCAATAACAGTAAATTTAACATAAAATTACTTTAATTGTAATAAATATATGTATATTATTAAATATACCTCATAAAATATGTTAAATTTTAAAGCGTGTAAATATCTGTTACTTTTAAATTACTATACATTATATTTGGTTGTAATAATTATTGACTATATTTTAAATAAAACTTGCAATAAAAAATAAAATTATTTATTTGATATTAAGTACTTATTATGTTGATATTTTGCGAAATTTTAATATTATTGTATAATTAAATTGAATAGTAAATGATTCAATAAGAATAATATGTATTAAAAGAGACATACAAAATTATTAATTAAATATAATTAAAGAACTTTATAAATGTTCAAAAGTAATAGTGTTATAGTGATAATATTAATTTACATTTCATTTTGATCTATTTAAGTTACTTATGAAATTAATTAAACAATTGCAATACTTACGTATTTCAGCAGAGTTGCATGAAAGGAAAGCCGCAAAAACGGCGAGCAATTGCACGAACCTGGACATGTTAACAACTGAGAGCGAACTTGAACGAAAAATGTTCTTCATTCACTTTTATATACGTCTCTCTTCACCTTGACTTCTACGTGTGCATCACATTAAACACATACAAAAGTAACTACACATATACATACATTTCACATCAAATCTACTTAATTACCAAAAAAAATATATTCTGGAAATAAAATTAATGGGAATAGCAAGTCCACTTTTTATTTTATTATGTATATTTTTTGGTTCAACAAATCGTCGTGTATAAGAAGAAAGTAAATATATTGAAATGTCTGAATATCAAAAAATCAAAACAAACAAGAAATAAATAAAAACTCAATGAATATTTATTAACGTATTTTTCCAATAAATTTCAGATTTCCTTTATGAAGTGTTATTTATTATATGGTAATAATTCCAACTTTTACGAATGATTAATGATCATTCGTAAAAGTTGGAATTATGTAATATGTAATGTATACTTAAAATTGATTGCAAAACATTAAACATAATTATTTTTTAATTTTATTGTATAAATACGCTTCAGTTTTTTATTTATGTGTTTTTAAATGTTTCAGTAAATATTATTATAATATTTCTCTTTAACCTAAGACCTTTTTTGATAATTTATTAAAAAATATATACATTTTAACTATATTATTTGTTTTTCCATTATTATTGATTTAATTTAAAGCAGATCAAAGAATTCACATATTATTTTGTTATTTCTGAGTAGATCTGAGTACAATCTTTTCATTATAATATAAGTTTGTATCCATTTCTGGATTAAATGAAGGCTCTTTTGTACGTGATATAAAGCACGAGCACTATTTCCTTCGCTTGAAAAGAATGCAGTTCCATTTACAAAGATCTTCTTGTCTTTATATTATAATAAAAAAAAAAGCCAGGTTATAAACAAATTCGGGTATAATATAATGTAAATATATTAATATCAGGGGGTCGGCAATCTGGGGCTCGTTTTGTTCCTAACCTTTTACTACTCGCGCCGGTGTAAAAAGTACACCAATTTTCTAAGAAATTATACTACATCTATATTATCTTTACCTCATCTATGACACTTAAAGTAAACTGTTTACTAAACACCGGTGCAATATTGTCGCAGTCAACACAAAGAAGTTGTTTTTGTGGACGTTTCTACTGACAAATATATAGAGGGCAATGACGACAATTCAGATTCAGAAATTATTATATTAATGTATTACACATAGTTAGGAATCTATTAAAAAAGCATTATTTCACATGAAAAAGATTTTTCTTGTCGTAATACAATCATTTATGGACTCCATTCAAGGTTAAATAACCTTTAGAAGCAACTAAAGTCATCCCGCAGTCTATTGATTCTCCATCACTTTATGCGATTATTTAAATAACAATACTCATGGCTCTTTGATCCAAAAAGGTTGCCGACCCATGAATTAAACTATATTATTTGATATTCTAAGTAAATAATGATTAATTGTCATAATAGATGATGAATTTATTACGTGCTCAAAAACAAATTAATTTTAGTAATTTGGTTTAAATTTCACCAAAATTTTGTAGCATCGCTAAAAATAGTTACTTAGTTGTTTTAATTAGAATTAATTGCATTATCTGCTTGCAAAACTGTTTAGTTAAAAAAATCATTGGAAATAATTATAATTAAAACTAACGTCAAATTTATGTTAATTGTTCAGATTTGCCATATATTTGTATACTTTTTGCATTATTTGCAATTCTTTTACTAATGACATCTATTGCATAATATCTATATTAATATAATTAGCATTAATTACTATTATGGTCACTGTTTCTCATCTTTAATCACTTATCATAAATTAATTTTAAAAAAAATAGTAAAAATAATTACCATAAATACCTATAATAGATTTTCTAAAAAGTACCATATAATTATATCAATAATAAATTTAAAAGAACTGTAATTTTCTTCAATTATTGCTTTATTGAATATTAGAATGATTTTCGCGGGAATTATTAATTAAAAAATCAGAATTATTAATACAAATAGTTTTTCTCTTTCTTCTCTTTCCTTTTCTCTTATAAATATAAATTATAAATATATAATGTCCAAAAATCAGTGATTTCGAATAACTAAAAATAATATAATCTTGGCTCTTCCACTTATTTTAATTAATATATGTTATATCATAATATTTTTTTCATATGTGATGACCCTGAGGATGATTTCCAATTAAATTCCAATATTGTATTTATGGTTATACCAATATTTTTTGAAAAATATATTTCTTATATACTTTTCGCGCCTCTTTTTATATTTATATATATATATATGATTATGATTCACAAAATAATGAAAAATGCATTTGCATTGCACTTGAAAAACAACCTTGGTTTAATTCAAGAAAATATAATAAAAAGATTTAGTAGAATCAACGAATATGAAGCAATGCATGTCACGTTTTCAATGACTAACTATTTTATTGTTCAGTAAATCTCAATAATACAATCAACTACCATTCATATCGATCATAGTTAGTAATCTTTCTAAAATTATAATTACATTAAATATTCATCATTAGTTAAATAAAAAAAAAAAAGAAAATTTACATTTAAATTTATTGTTTACGAATTTTCTATTATATTTCTATTATAGTGAATCTGCACTGATCTTAGCCACACTATGCGAGGTATTGTTATATTTGCAACTCAAAAAGTTTGATTGGAAATGAAAAGTTCCATATTTTTGGATGATTTTTAGAAAGATATATTTTATTAGGTAAAGGGTGTCCCAAAATAAACTGATATTTTAATTCTATTAATAAAATACATTTTTTAATTGATAATAGATTTTTTTATTTTAATAGAAAGTAGAGACATTTGGACTCTTTGGATGAAAATTTCCATAACATGTTAACGTAATTGCTGGTAAATGTCGGCAATGATGTATCAAATTCATCTTTATGGTCCTTATGTTTTGTGGTTTATTGATGTACACTGTATTTTTAAGATAACCACAACAAGTAGTCTAACAGTCTCAAGTCACATTGGCATCACCTCGCTTCTTGGCAGTGTGACATGTTATACCGTCTTGTTGAAATTATATGTCTTCTACGTTCATATCATTAAATTTATACCATAAAAAGTTTGAAGCTATCTTAGTTTGTAGTTAGGAGCCATCTTAGAAGTAAGGTCCAAAATCCGTACTAAAGCGTGTTCTGTCGAGGATGCCTATGAGTTCTTCAATCACTTTTTGCGCCTATTTTTTTCCGAAAATTTACAATCAATTTGCTTTTTCAAAATCCAATTTGCAAACTCCCAACAACATTATTAAGTGATTTTTACAGTATCTACACGTTCTATGATCATGTACTCTTCTATACTCTTATCTATACTCTTAACCTCAATGTTTACTAATAACAGCATATAAAAATCACTAATATGGTTTTATCGCAAAAAAAATGTCGACAAATTTAAATTGTCAGTTGTTTTTGGGACAACCTTTATATAAATACATTTTTAAATTTTTCTATGTAAAAAGCTGCGTCTTATAGTCCGGAAAATAGTTAATTATTTTAAATTTATTTACAATGCTAAAGTTATTAATAGTTACACCGCTTCAACAAATATTATTGAAATGCATTAATTGAGAAAAAATATGTTTCACAAACATGTTTTTAGTAAAATTGAAATTTATAGTAGGTTATAAATTTCAATTTTCTTTGATCAATTATTTTTATTTTATTGGATAAGAAATATTATAAATAACAAAAAATATGAATTTATTTAGATTGAACCCTGAAACTCCAATTTTATAATGTATTTATAATTATATATTTCATAATGTTTTTATAATTGTATAATAATACCTTTTCCAGACGAAGAATAATGTATAACATCAAATGTGTAGATTCGTTAGCGTTAATAACTACTAAAGTTAATTGGCTATAAAAAAAAACTAGTGTACCTGAAAAATGTTACTACACAATATACACAAAAAATAGTTAAAACAAATAACAAAATAATGTCTTATCTTTTCACCTAATACAAATAATTTAGATTAATTTAGATTAAATTTTGAAATTTAACTTTAAACATCAAATATATAAAAAAAAATATTATAGTCTATGTATACATACACCACTAATTACAGGAAGTAATTTGTAGTTCGTTTTAATTGATTATTAAATATAATTGAATAACAATTTTCACATAATTAATTGTAAGTTATAGTTCACTTATTATATTTTTTATCTATACCAACATTTTTTTAAATTTATATGATAAGTGATCAAAGATGAAAATCAGTGGCCATGATGGTAATTAAATCTGAAAACTTACATTAATATATTTTTTTTTAAGTAATTGCCACTTATTTACCAAAGACAAAAAAATTCTGTATTTATTATTTATTTCCGTATTTAGAAATACAAGATACGGACCAAAGAACGACCTTTGAATCTAGACAATATTCAAGTTTAAGTTCCACGAAACCAAGCCACGATCCATTTCTTTTATTGTACACATTGGTCGTAAATTTACACAATTATACAAATACAGAAAATGAAGCAACTTTTATATATATATATATATTGCGTAAGAAATGTATATAATATAATTATCATTGACGTATATAATTGATATGATAGTGATTTCAGTTTGACTTTTATGGATTGTGTGTTTATTTCAATAGAGTTTTCTATGTGACAAAATGAGAAATCCGTTGTGCTGTCGCAACACATTAACAATTCAAAATTAGGAACAGCATCTAAGGTTGTCTTTATTGTTATTGCATGTTTAAGGTTGATCCATTACTCAAGACTGTTGACCTCTCTTTTCCTAAAAGTGTTTTTCGTGGAAAATAGTGACATGTGACCTTTGTATGGTAATTCATAAATCGTAGAACCATAAATTGAAATAAAAGTAAAAAATTTCCGAGGAGAAAATAATAAGTGTGATATGTGAATGAGACTACTTATTTATTCATTTAACATGTTATATTTCCAAATTATGATTTACTTTATTTTGATACTCTGATGTTTTGTATCTATACCTTTTTTAATTCGCCATATTTGATTAATAAGACAAAAAATAAAGAGTTTGATGAAATATGTTTTAGGACTTAACGTGTGATGATATTCTTTATTAAGTATTGTTAATTATTAATGTGATGATTGAATTTGCAACTGCTTAACAATTGTTATATTCCTGGTTTTTGTCTTAATCTGCAAAAGAGTTCAAAATCCACTTTCGCAATAGTAGGCAAATGAAAGAAAGCATGTAAACTTTAAGATAAGATTGACGCATCAAAATATTGGATATTATCTCTGAAGTGAATAATGGGCATTTTGTTACCATGTAGTTTCAAATATAACTTATTTAGCTGATCTGAGATATCAGATAAATTATCTATTCGTGGGATGCAGATATCGTCATTAAAGTATGTCATAAACTCATGTCTCTTTTTATTTTTAAGAACCGTTTTATTAAAAAATCTCGACCAATCTGGAGCAATATCAAATGATTCCTTGATTACAGCATTGCATAAAACAAACTGTGGTTTCTCTTTGTCGTTACTAATAACAGTTGAAAATCCAAATTATAAATAGTTCCCCGAATATTTTCTTTTTTCTACGTATATAGAATTCTTAACATTTTATCACTTTTAAATTTTAAAATTAATTTTGTATTTTAAAACCGACGACCCCCTGTATTTGTGGTCATAGACATTCTCCAAACACCATACTTGTATCTGCACCATTTCTCCATAACATGTTAAGATTAAGGGTGGTACTGTATAATCTTCTGAGACGCAGAGTAAATAATAGGTGACATGTCACCAATAAAGCTCCTAGCTTGAGAAAGAAGTGAGAGACTGAAAATAGTAAAGAGACTGCTAGAGCTCTACATGCTATAAAGTATGACATACGAGTACACTCGTCTCTTTTATTATTAATGTTACTATTAATTATGATTTTTTTAATATTTTTTTATCGAATTTGAAAATAGCTGTATCATGGAAAAATCGTACAAGCTATATGGTTACATTTTTGATAATGTACTTGCTTTAACAAGCAGGTCATATACAATTTTAAGATTAGGATACTCATATGAATTGAATTCGATTTTAGAAATGAATTGTGTTCGACAACCGAGGTTTTACTATGCGTATTTTATATAATTATAATTAATAATTATAGGTCCAAAACCAGAATATAAAAAAAATACGACTTAATACTTAATTAATTTGTATTTTAAATAAAAAAATAATAATATATTATTTTTTAAACAAAAATATTAAGTTGCAAAAATCTTATGGTAAAAACAAGTTGTTGAATGGAATCCTTCCAAGATAACCGGATGCAATGGACGTGATGAAGGTGCCAATCGTCTCCCTCAATGAAGGATATAGTTCTTCAGAAACATCCTTCCAATTTTCATAAAGGAACATGTTCATATGTTCACCTACAACAATTATAAACATTACAAAATGCAAACATTAGATATTCTACACCCAATAACTTGCTTTAATTACCGGAAAATTTTCTTAACCGCAAATTAGTTCAAGAAAATACAATTAAAAATGTATTTTTAAAACACCATTAAATAATATGTTATTTTACTTCATTTTTTGCACGTGCGAAATATATGTTCCTAATTGTTAAATTAATATTATTATTATAACGTTTAACCAAAGTGTTTACATGGAATCATTTTAACTTTCAATAAAATGATTCCAATATTTTTATGTTTTGATAACTTATGTTTTTTATATATAAAACCTGATTTATTCCTCACCTAACATTTTATCTCCGTTAAAGAGATTATCCAACCTTATGTACATTCTCTCAGATGTGTATTCCAAATTGAATTTGTCGAATTTCAAAAAATCCCTATTCCTTCTCATAGCTAATGAGTAATCAAAGTCGTAGTTAAAACTTCCACCAACTGCAATAAGAGAATATTGGAAAAATTGTAAATAAAAATAGATAAATTAAATATGCCTTTCGTGTTATGACAAATTATCAGATCTTCGTAAACACAATCATTAAATCAAAGAAAAGAAAAATTACCTAAAGTAATATTCGCTGGACCTTGACCAACAATCGGCAAAATAAGAAGATGTCCATCTACTTCGTAATCGGCCATTAAATTCAGGAAGTCAATGAACGCGGTAATTTTGCACTTTTTGTTATCGAAGTCCAAGTCCATCTTCTTTATCACCGCATTCTCAAGGCCGAACAACTTTACGTTCTTCAAATAAATCTTGAGCGATTCGGTCACCATAAGATGGATCTCCGGTATCTCCAATGGCATTAAACTGGGCAATCCATTTTTCTTGTCACCTAAAAAAATAAACGAACAATTTACCAAATTGCGTCATTTCTTCAAAACATACAAAATAAGAAGGTTTTTTCGAATATAGAAAATTATGTTTGAATCATTTCAATCAAAAAGAAAAATCATCACATTTGATATACAATAAATTTATATGGTACAATTAAACAAGCGAGGCAACTGGTAAGAAAAAAAAATCATTATATAATTCTGTCTCATTACATGTAATTGTATTATTGTTATTTTGCATTTAACGTCATGAACTGACGGACAACTTAATTTCAGCTAATAAGAAATTGCTGTTCTGATCGTGTTTATAAATAAAAAGAAATATTAATAAAGGATTAAACACAATGTAGTTAATGTGTTAAATTTACCTTATTTAATATTAATTTTCTGTGTACATTAAACATTCCATATGTTTCTTAAATTAATTTTAATACATGTGATAATACTGATTTTGTTTCGTTTTTGATTGTATTTATCATTTGCATGAATATATATTAATGTGGGTAAAAAGATTCAAAAAAGTATCTATTATGTATTTGTACAATATTTCAACAAAACAAAAAACATAATTTGCATACAATAATAATAATGAAACAAAAAGTCAACTGCTGCAAAGGGTTATTGATCATAGGTCTTTCTGTCCAGTTTTATCATTATAGTAGAAGTTAATAAGTGCACTAATTTAATTTAACAATATTACATATAAATGAAATAAATAATAAATTCAGTGTTTCTGAAATTGACAATTAACATATATACATGAGATATTAATTACTTACAATAAAATATTAATAAAGCATGATTTACTTTCCTAACTTTCATGTGGTACATAATTTGAATAAAGCTATGATAAAAGTCGTAATCGTCAAACTAAAGTTACAGACAGTTACAAACTTTGGAGTAGAATTTCACAAATTCTCAAAGATAACATTACTACATCATACATACAATGATTTTTTTCAATATTTGATTATCCACATATTTCTTTTTTTTTTTCGAGAAAAGTAAGTCCCTACTTATCAACGGTACAAATGAAACAAATTGAGCATTGTTATGATTTATGTAACAAATAGACTCAAGGATGCACATGCATAATTCAATACAAATATGCATGGCAAGTATTTATACTGCTTATGTTGGGTGACAAAGTACAGACTTAAAACTCTAGTTGAGGGAACCACACAATATTATGGTATTTCCATTGCATTTAATGTTAGAAGTGCTATTTCAAGAAATAGATATATTTCAATAATAGCAAGACAATCAAAATATATGTGATGAGAAATATAAATAACATAGACAAAGGGTGATGAACAAATACGTTATAAAACAGATTTTGAGTGCGAATAATGATGAAGAATTAATGGCAAAATAACAGAAAATTTTTGTTGAGTTCTGAGATATGCACAAGACCAACGCAATATATGTGCTACTAGTCGGTTAGTTTCCTATATAATAAAACATGATTCCAAATCCGGAAAATTCCTAATATTTTTGGTAACAGGTATGACTTGATATGCTAGAACGTACACATGTTAGAAGGTTGGTTTTTACCCCATCACGGTAGTATTAAATAATGTGTTGAAGATTTGATTGTTTTATATTAAAAGCAGAATTACATGTTTATATTATAAAACTAATAGAAAAATAACTATACACAACACCATTTTTAAACAATTTACATTGAATATATTTAAATTGTTACTTTCAAGTATCTTTTTATTTCATTTTTACTGTAATTTAATACATTTCTTAAATTGTGTAGACTTCAATTATTTATTAGTCTTTTGACACATATTAAAACCAATAACAATTAGTAGAAAAAATAAATAAAATTTATTATACTATAGACTATGTATGCCCTAACTAATATTATATATTGTATATAAGTAATATTATAAATTATGTATTAAACTTATATGTGTCTGTTTTGGACTATTTGCTAAATGTAAATATTATGTGAATTTATTATTTAGTTTTGAAGTAAACAATGACAAAATATCATGACTCAAAAAAAATACTGCGCAAGTCATTGAAAGGTTATTTTAAATCGAACAAATACCTGAATTGATGACCAACATATTGACAGAATTCCATAAGAATGATGGCAAAACTTTGCAAAAAAAGCATTCACATTATAGTCACATTGATTTTTTTTATTTATATTTAATTTGATCTTTATGTAAACTGACAGAACTTGAAATTATAAAATTAAGCAAATAAAACAATATTTAATTTATTTACTATAATATGTCAATAATTGCGTAGCTCATAGTTCGTACAAATAATCACTAAGTAATATAATTAGTGCTGTAATTTATTGCTTAAACATTCAAGAAAATTAGTATATTTTTTTTATATACATTGTTTACTAGATTAATTTTGGGGTCGAAAGACAAACGGGATACGCAAGTAAAAAAATCTAAAACAGCTGTATAAGACGCACCCAGTTTTTAAAGTCCCCAAATTATATACATGGAGAACTACGATATTTAAAAATAATGAAAATATTAGAATTATTCACATTAACATTATTTATCATTCATTATTTATTCTTTATATAATTTATCATTATAACGTCTTCAAATAGTTATTACTAGAATATATATTTCTTTAATTGAAACTTATTGTTAAGTTTAATATAAAACTACTAACCTTTAAGAATATCCGGTAATGCTAAGTTGGCATGTTCCGCAGCGCATTCATTCAATTTCGGGTCGGTTCTGCTGCATCTGGTTATGTAACTTGCTGAAATTGTATATTAATTAAATTAAAAACTAATCTCTAGGTATCTTTGTAGTAATTGAACTTACGAAATTTCATTGCTTGGCATGTAGTAATGATAGCGAGGAAAACACAAATACTTTTTACCGGTCCCATTTTCATCACGTTTGTTTATGTTGAAATTCAAAATTGAAACTGAAAATTGTGTATTTGTGTAGTGTATTTATATGGATTTATATAAGCGGGTAAACACACCCCACGCCCACTTCTGTGGTTTCGGTAATTTGTGAATCAACCGCACTTCAATTTCACAGAATAGATCGATGTTAATCTTCACTCCAGGTAAACATTGAACAATACTTTAATTACTATTAAATCTGATGTTAATGATAATTTCTTATTATGTAATTACAATGTAATTAGTATTCGTTTAATATAGTATTATTCCATATGTATAATTACCTTGTTTAATTAAATTTAAATTAATTGTATTATGTATAACTAAGTACTTTTCCAAGTTTTTAAATTAAAACAATTTTTTTTTTATGTACACCCCAAAATATGATAAATAAAATATATACATAAGACTTAAAAACACAATATGTTATTAGAAAATATGAGATCAGTATTTTTTTTAATGAAATACAAAAATATAAATGCAATATGTCTGAGAATTTACTCAGATACTTTAAAATATGTAAATAATATTTCTTTTTATTCAAAGAGGTGAATTTATTTACTTCAAATTTCAATTATATTCATAATTCATATTTTTTTTAGATATAATTAATTTATATTACACGATTATTTTATAATTGTATGAATTAATTGATTTTAGTAAAACTTATATTTAGTGTTCACTTTTCTAAACTGATATTATAAAAAGAAAAATATAATTATTAATAAAAGGACAAAAAGACCTATGGTCATTAGACTTTTGCAGCAGTTGAAATGTATTATTGAAATAAATATTATTATTTGTTAATAAAAAGCTCTTATATTAAGAATTTAAATTCAAATCTAAGGTGTGTTGATTTATTTTCGTATAAAATTATACGGAACGAACAACAAATTGTGTTTTACATATTAATATGAGGAATTATCCATAATTCAATTTTCTATAAACATGTTACAATGTAATATAGTTATACCTCGATTAACGAATAGGATACGTCCATCGAAATTTCTTTGTTAAATAAATCTTCGGTTACAGACGTAAACATATGACCAGAATGGGAATACGTTTCTTCGTAATGAAAATAAACACTGAATTTTTGCATAGTAATATCAACTTATTTTCTTTATATATAAATTATAGAAAACTTTGTTTTGTCTTTGCTGTTCTTATACCCTCTATGTAACACATACATAATATGCCATGCGATTAAATTGTAGACCCATTTTCGAATTTCCCCCCTTAACAACCATATTGCCTTCCTGTGGAAAACACTGCTTTAAAATTGCAATTACGGGCACCACGTTGCCGTCCCCCGCATTACTTTGATCAGTCCCGATTCAATATATTTTGGTTTCAAAATTTCACATGAAACTAAATTTTAATTTAGCTAAATAAGAACAAAACTACAATATTAGTACAGATGATCATAAATGATCGGTTTTTTTATGTATACTGTCAAGTCTATGTACTTTGTCTACAGGCGTCCCTAAATTTACACGATTATCCGTTCTGTTTCTTAAGCGAATAAAAATTGCGTAAATAATGTCAATAAGAACAGAACAATATTTTTTTTATGTCGTGTAATTTTATTTACAATCTGTTCATCAATGTAACCATTAAGTAAATTTAAGATCGCGGTTGACATTAGGTAGGCAATCTTGCTCGGTGGATAATTACCATTATGATGATTTTTAATATTTAATTTTAATATTTGATTTGAACCTGTGACCACTGACACGTGGGTAGGGCGACTTAATCATTCGGCCAATCAGTCTCCCAACAATAATAAATGGAAAAAGTTTTTGAAATACATATTTATTTGAAATAACTTAACAAAAAATAATTATAACATTTTTAAAAACCAAGAGCGATCTTTTTTGTTGTCACTATCGCTATTTAAAACAAACAATATTTTCTTTTTAATTGTCACACAGTCATGGCTTCAAATATTTCCAACTTTATTATTAATGTAATTTTTTTTCGGATGATTTTTTTATCAATATTTTCATAAATTTGCTTATATTCGCTGCAACATTTCGTTAAATTTGAATATTTGGATCAATGTTTATAATTGTACTTTCTTTTAGTTAATTCAAAAGCTTTACAAAGATTTTCTGCAGTGAATTGAAGCTTATTTATGCAAGTATAATAAGGAGTTTTTGTAATAAAAAGAATATAATAATATTGACAGCTTCTTTCTAGTTTAGGAAAGTAATTGTATAAATCGATGTAAAACATTTACTAATTCAATAAATAAAAATATAAAAAAATATTTTTTAGAAGAAACATATTTCAACTCTTTGCTAACATTTAATTTGTATAAGACATCTAATAAGACAGTGAATAAAATATTTTATTTTTAATAAATTTCGCGACAAATTAAATTTTAATGGAGCAAAATAAATTCTAAAAAAAATAGTACAAAACTATATTTTTAACATATAAATTATCGTTTTTTATCGTCTATTTTTATAAGGTTTTAAAATCATTGGTTTCAAACAGTCCCAGGATATTGGTGAAACCGATTGTGCGAGGTATTGATGTATTTTTGAATATATATGATATGTATGCAACCAAGTATACACACTACAATGTAAAGAAGATATAAATGCTCCTGTTTTATGTTTCTTTGTTATAATAAAATATTTTAAACGCTTCATTTTAATGCTATTGTTTAATAAGAATAAATACATTAGAAAATTACATTTCATTTATTATATAATAATACAGTTCTTCTATTAAAACCTCCTCTCCCTTCACATAGCTTTTGTCACGCACAATTTCGCCAGATACCGCCTATAAATACAGGTAAGTATTCCAATTTACACCATATAATATAATTACTATAATTCTCATATTATATAATTCTAAACTACTGTAAGTTATTTTTAGTTGTCTTTTACTAATTCATCAAAAGGTATTTTACTTAAGAACTTATTGAAAACTGAAGTAATTATGGTTTTGATCGTTTTGTTTATAGCTGGAGACACTTCCTTACCAACTTCTTCCCAATTTTCGTTCAAAACTTTATTCATTTCGGTTCCTAAAACATAATTTATATATTATTATCATACAAAAATTTGTAAAGAATAAACTTGTATTTTATATAAAAATAAATAAAATAAAATCTTAATGTTTATGATGAAAATTTAATATAATAATTAAATTAAAACGTGTTTTATTTAAATTATAACACGTTTAATAAACTAATTATTCATTCATCGTTAATTAAATGTAATCAATTTAATTATAATTACCAAATTGTACATTTCCATTGAACAAGTTTTTGAAATCGAAATGAATCTTCTTAGGTGTAAATTCGATGTTGTCATTTTTCAACTGTGCATATTGTTTTCCTTCGATGTCCACCAAATCGTAATCAAAATCATATATAAAATGGCAGCCATCTATCAGAAAAAAAAAGTATAGTCATCTGAAAAAAAAAATTGAACCAATCATACCAAACTTAATTTGTGATGTTCCATTTCCAGAAATTGGTAAAACCAAAATTCTTCCACTGATGTCATAATGTCCATCCAATTGCATTAATGGAGTCTCAGTGATGAAGCGAACATGTTTTTTCTCGAAATCAAAACTGGTAGTAAACAAAATAATGTTTATATTAAGTAACCGTTAATTTTTATAGCTTACTTGACGGAGCTAGAAGCCAAGTTTTCTAATCCTGATATGATGACATCTGTGAACTTAATTTTCAGAGTTTCACCATTATCAATAAAAACTTCATTCAGTTTAAACTCCTTCAAAGGAGGCACTTTAAATGTTGGATCACCTAAAATGGAAACACCATTTAGAAAAAAAAAACACAATTATTTTATTTCAAAGACAAACCAATTGATATAACTTTCATTGCAGCATTTGCACTTTTAGTTGCACATTCGGTGAATTTGGGATCATTCTTTGAGCATGCCGTTAGGTAACTCGCTAAAAAAATATACGTTCAAGTTAGGCAATAAAATAAAAATGATATAATTAATAAAACTTACGCAAATGTAAAGCTTCAATATCCAATACGAGGAACGCAAAAAGTACACAATTGACCACAAGCTTGTTCATTTTGTTTGCTGTTTTCTGATGTTTAAATAATATATATAGCCTTCTTATTGACTTTGATGGATTCTGCTGTTTAACACTGTAATAGTTTTATATAATAAGAAAAAAATAAGCTGTAAAACAAAGTGTCGAACAACACATTTATTGTTATCTTTTATTGCAATTCTTAATAACTAAGTGTATTTTAATTTATTACTTTGAAATATTGAATATCATAATGAAGTTAAATGCACAATATTAAATACTTACAATGTAAAAGATAATTAATAATATTGAAACTAGTTGAAAATAATTAATTAGTTAAGTACTTAATAATAATAATTAACACTGTACAAATTAACTTGCTTGATTGGTTTGTTGTAAAATTTGTTAACTACATATGAAATTTGATTATTGAAACGACTGTGTTATAAATATAAATTTTGGAAATGAATCCATCGACATGTATTTATAAGAGCACCAGAGGATTACAACTGAATGAAGTACATCGACGGTAGTTTTGAAATTATTTCTTTAACATTATGAAACCTTGAATAGTTTAGCATTTATAATGAATACATTTTAAGGCTATAACATATGGTATTACGTATTTCAATCCGATGAATTATTTATTGATTTTAAAAATTAACATAATGATGAAATATAAATTTGGTACAAATATCTAACCGCTAATTACATTGTTTGGATTACACGTTATTTTATACGAATCTTAAACTCCTAATCGGTGCGTGATTCAATTGATTTCATTTGGTTTCATTATTCTCTAAGTAACGTTTCGCTAATATTAAATGTATGGACAATTGATTGGAGAAAGGATATTGGATGTACTTTGACCACCCACTTAGAGCTGTAGCTTTCTCCATGTCCAATTAGGAATACAATTATGTATGATTTCAGACATTCTAATTGTACACTGAAATCTAATCAGTAATAACATTTACAGTATTGTCTCTTATTACGTTAATTGGAATTTTATTTGTTTATTTATTTTGTATGTACACGAGTGTTTAATAGACCACTTAGGCAACTGCTCTGCTCACATTCACTTCCAAATGCAGCATTAATTACTATAATGTGTAATTAATGAACGACTTATTGCTTCATTATTGCGTGAATTGTTACAGATTATTATTGTCACTTATAATAAACGAATGGAAATATCAATAACCTCAAAGGTCTTTGGTGACCCCATAGGTGTTCCGAATCACGTGCATAAAGTACAAGACACTCTCTCACTTAGTCACAATGGCAGTCTCCGCGGAACTTCCCATACTTTCCAACACACAAACGGTATCATGGTATGTCGTTTGTGTGGTTTTATCCGATTTTCATAAATCTGGAACAGCCGTGTCCATGATCCTCATCTCCTGGGGTCCACCGTTGCATCTGGAAGACATGTGGGTTGTTGTGTACGCTCTCTGAAGTGCATGCAATGAGCTCGAAGATAGGGTCCTCTCGAGGATTTCGCCCCAATACTTCTCGGACAATCTTTCCAAATCACAGCCGGGCGCATGACCTAGTTGGCCGGAACTGCTGTTGCTGCAGCTATGCTGCTGCTGGTGCTGCTGTTGATGCTTTTGCGAGTCCGACTTTCTGCAGAAAAACTGTGAACAGAAAGAGAATTATTGCTTGGCACGATCGATTCTCTTTAATTTAAGAGATGCAAATACATGTCGGATATCCTCCGCAATAAATGCTTAACTTAAAACAAAATTCTTGTTGCATATATGTCACAGTTAAAGTTTATTATATCAATACTCTAACTTTTTATTAAATAGCGTATTACCGTGTAATTATACATTAGTATAATGAATCTACTCTTTATGTTGAGATATGTACATACAAATATACCTCGATTAACGAATGGTATGGCGTTTCTTCGCAAAAACAACGAAAAACTTTGTCTTTGAAAGAAATGCTTTTTTAAATAAATAGTCAACTTAATAATAACTTTAAAATATAAGTCTAAAGTTAATTGCATTTTTTCTCTGTCTAATGTGAAGTTATTGAATTTAACACTGATTGCTTAACAATAACCTCTTTAATCATTTCTTGTTAACATTTTTTTCGACAGGAACTTCATGTATGCTAACAAGGTTTTCTACTTCTTCCACCAAATTTGTAATATGCCATTTTCAAACCAATTGATTTGACTGGATAACTTCACTTATAATTTCTTAGATGTTAATTTCTTCTTCTAGTATAACTTCCGGCCATATACATGACTTAGTGACATCTTTCTACGAACTATTAATAGTTTTTATATTAATAGTTTAGAAATAATAATGTTTCTATCATAGGACGGTTATAAATACGGATCAACTGAAAATAAATACAATTTTGACAGCAATTAATTTATCCAACGTGATGGATCAGAAGAGTCGTTTTTTTCAGGAAAAAGTCGTTAATCTTCAATACATTTGCGAACTTCGTTTTATCAAAGCTTCGTTATCAGAGGTAACATTATCTCAGGTTTAGATGTAAACATAAAATATCCAATGCAACAGATGTTTGGATTAACCGTAAGTCTTTCCGCCCAGAGATACAAAAACCATATAAATTGTCACAATAAATAATACAAAAAAAATCATACATAAAAACGATGAAATTATAAAATAAAACCAAATAAATGTAAATCTTCTCGAAATGAAGAATGATAAAAATCGTCCAAACACGGTCTATCCTCCTTCATTATGAAAGACTCGGCAGTCCCCTAATTCATACACGTATGAAACTCCCGCTCCAGGTCATCCACGTCGAACATCAAAACATAAACATGATATCCCGAAAAACAGACGTGTGTTTCAACATTGAAGTTGTTTATAAATCGCTGCAGCAACTCTGCGCATTTTTAAGTGTTCACTATGTGGTCGTGTATTGTTATCGGCCTGTGTATTCTGTTGTCCTAAACGTCTTTAGGTAGCTCACTCGTCTTTTTATTAAGTGGCCTTATTTTGATGTTAGGTATACCCGGTATGGGATTTGTTGGCCTCTTCGGACATTTGCAGGTCCTCCGAGTTTCACCTGTGGGAAATTATTTTTTTTAATTGCGTTTTTGATTTATTACGAGAATGTAATAATTATAACATTCCTCCATAATTCAATATAATAATTAAAAATTTCCTATTATAATCTTTAGTTTATATGTATTTTTCTATTCTATAAGATAATTGTTATTTACTAATTATAATGATTATACAAATTAATTCATTATGTGTTTATTGTAATTATCATAAGAAATCTTACAATTGAAACTATTTACAAGTGCAAATATTTTTAGGCATTTTCCATGATTTGTTTGATTACAAATTTTATAATAATATAATTTGCTGTCGGAAAGTATAAAATTATATTTATTATTATTAATAATATAATTATTACCAACTTAAGATAATCCAACAATAAAAGATTAAGTAGAAATTAGGTAAAAAAAATGTAATTTATTCATACTGATCTTCAAATTAATTATTTTAAATTCATTTAAAAATATTAATTCTATATGCCAGGATTTCCCAAATATTTCCTGCAACTGTACACTCCGTAAATCCTTCATAAATAACATATAAACAATAAAATTTGAAAAAATGAGAGAAACATTTCTTGTATCTTTAGCAATTATTTCATTCCGCGGAACATAATTTGGGAAACTCTGCTATAAACTATTCCCATCAAAAATCATCATGTTATGGTAAATCACCATAACACAAACTATATGAGCAGTGAAACAAATGCATTTACATATTATTAAACAATCATTCTTAGAAACAAATTAACATACGAACAGTCTGAATTCCGCAGCTGAAAGTACAAAACAATATATTATTGTAAAAAATAACGTAACAAACAGAAAAATCACAAACGATTACAGAAATATTGGTTTATCCTTCAAGAAAATAAAATGAACTATGGTCAATAGTTCAAGGTATAATTAAGTACTACAAATACCGAAAAAATATTAGGAATATTTCCTAATACAGTCGATGTAAAAAATCCTTGAACCCAAATAATATAATTATGAAGTAATATTTAAATATAATTTCATTCCATCTAGTGATTTTTTTATTATTTTTTTTGTTTGTTTGTGAGAGTGAACTTTAATTCTTATGACCCATTAATAAATTTGAATAATTAATTCAAACTCAACGTACAAAGTTCCTCAACAAATTATATAATTGATATTTCTTCAGTTTTGTAGAAATTTTTGTTATAATTACATTTGAATGGTTTTTAATTATTTATGTCTGGATTACAAATAAATAAGAATTAAATTTACTATTCATGAATAATTTCAATTACTACTAACAAAATTATATCAGAAATGAAAATGTCATACATAAATAATTTCGTAATCCCATTTTATTCATTCAAAGAGTTTGACAATTTTGGTCTGTCCTTGTCTAAACAGTTATTATTATTTTTTATAAAAATGAATTAATTTGCTAAAGCCATTAAGATTTATTTCTATATTATTACTACTGAATAAAATATATGTTTTTTATATATTTTTTTTAAATTAATATGAAAACGTAAAACACGAATAATATGTTTGCTTTAGCAAGTTTCAAAACTGGTTTATTTTTATAGGATTGATATGTTTATTTAAATATTTTAATTTGTTTCCTTAGTACTTTAAAGAATATAACCTACAAATATAAAAAAAATCGTTTCCGTTTCCAAATTGTGTTATTTAACACATTAATATATTTTTAATATATTAATTGCAGCATAACATGTTTTTGTAATATTAAAATAAAATAAACTGTCTGAACTTGAAAAATAGATTGCTTTCAAAGAATATGACTGCCTGGAATAAACAATGAAACAGTTAAATAAACTTGGGAATATATTCCAGAAAAAATAATACGGTATTAAGGTACTTATATTTTTCAGAAAAGAGTTGTTCTTTCAACAGGGTAGATTTAAAGTTCAAAATTTTTAACTTAAATTCTTTAATAGATTCAATATAGAAAAAAATGTATAAAAAATTGTTAAATAAATATATATATTTTCTATTATAATACTATAATAACTACTACTAATTTTTACTTATGCAAATAAAGTATAAATATTTCATTTTAATATAATTTATATAAAAGCAAATAATTTTAATCTTCTCTATAACTTTCAATACTTCATATAGTTTCTTTATTTTGTTATTGAGTTTCAATTTGTATTCCCGTCAAAAATACAAATAGCTTCTAAATAATATTTTTATATGCAACAAACAATATACGAGTTGTGTAAACGAATAGATTCCAAGCAAACAAATATATTATCAACGTATTTCCATTTACTTGCGAAGTATTTTAGATCAAGTAAATAATAACTTATGATCAATATCTGCACTATAAATAGTCTCTTATATCATATCCTTTTTTAAATATAATATAAATTATGGCAAAAAAAAAATACTGTATGTAAAATAAAGACATTTTCAAATTCTTGAATAATTTTTATTTATTATTAAAATTATTCATACTAGTGAAATTCAATTCATCATCACTCTTGGTACTTTGGAGAAGTTTACAAGTATGTTTATTCGGATAAGTAACGGTAACGATAACACAAGAGAGCGATTATAGATATGCGGCCGCTTATATACCCTCAGCGATTATCATCCTTACCTGCCCTTCCATGTATATCTGCTACGGGCTGGAGTAGGGCGTACCGTACCCGGTTGGTACGTGACGTCATATCCGGGCTGAAGTAAGCGCCACAGTACCCCCTGCTAGTAATTTGATCCGTGGAGCAAAATAATTACGTAGAATCGTCAAGTTGAGGTCCGGATGATGCCTAGCTTGTCGATATTGTTGTTGTACAATACAATTTTTATGGCCCACCTGCTTGATACCTCTCTACAAATCACACTCTTCGACCCAATAGAGTCGTTCCTGGGACTGAAATTGTAGTTTTACTTTTTGTCGACAAGCAGGTTCGTAATGGCTATGATGATGATGGCGATGATGGTGGTGGCGATGGCGCGGGAGGAGGTGCTTCCTGACCGTGGTGTTGTGGTGATGATGCGAGTGGCTTTTGTTGCCTGAAAAACAACACTGGCCGTGGTCGTTCTTCCACGGAGGCTTCCAAGTCGGTGTTGAGGCAGTATGCAGGTTTTAACCTGTCGATGCTAATGTTAGACTGTCGGCCGTTGATTTCCACCAGGAATGTTTTTTCGAAACGCCGGATAACCTTAAACGGACCGTCATACGGGTCCTGCAGAAGTTTCTTCGGGGCGTCGTGACGCACGAATACATGCCCTGCCGTTGCCAGATCTTTAAAAACGAACGATTTTCGTTCTCCGTGTGATACGGTGTTTGCAGGTCTTCAATTTTCAAAGGACCTTCGTAACTGTCTCATATAGTCCGCTGCGTCGCTGGGTTCGGGATGTTTACTGGCGGAGAGGAATTCTCACTGCTAAGTAAATCGCGAGTAACTCCCTGTCGTATTTCTTCTCCGCTGTGGTGAATTTCTTAGAAAAGAAACCCAGTGGTTCCCATGCGTTGCCTATTCGCTGTTCGAGAGCTGCGCCGGCTGAAAAATCTGAGGCGTCGCTGATGATCGAAAGGGCTGCTCCGGTTTGCGGATGTGCCAGCAGCGCTGCTTG